ACATATTTTATGGTTCCTAATTGCCGTTCTATGGCTAACAACTATAAATATTTTCTAAGAAAATCTTCATCAAGGATTTTAGCCTTTACCATACAATAACATAAAATTATGAGCAAAAAGGTTTTCCATGGATTATAACTGAATGGAAGAAGATATAATTCATCTAGACTTCTATAAAATGTACAACTGGAAGGATATTTATTTAAAGGTAGAAAATTCGACAAAATATTCAAAGTAAAATTGACAATTTAGTTATGTTATATTCAACTAACTGATCTGTAATGAGCGATAAAACTCATATTCTTACTATACCCTTTCTTAGCTATAAGTAAAACAAACTGTAGATCCAAACTAAACTACCCTTAGCAGGCGTTTAAAATAGAGAAAATACAACAGCAACAGTAACAACAAATGCCAAAGCAATCAACAAAATTGCAAAGTGCATTTTGCAGTGGCAACGTTTGGCACTCAGATTTTTGGGGAGGCGAAGGGGAGGTTTCGTGGGGGCCTTTTGGGGGTGGGCAGTGGCAAGTGGCAAGTGGGGAGTGGGGTTGTCGCTGGTGACAGTGACGTGCTCGGCCCGGTTCGGTTCGGTTCAGTTCGTTTGCTGGCTGGCAATGGACAAATGAACGCCCCTGACATCGTTAGTTGTTGTTGCTGTTGTTGTTGTTCATGTTGTGTTGCTGCTGCAATTGTTTGTTGTTGCTACTGTTGTTGTTGCTCTTGCTGTTGTCGTTGTAATTGTTGTTAAACGCTTTACTGGCCGGAGCACGCAGAAATCCTGATTTGGTTATAACAACGCACATTTGAAAAGCGAAAAATGAAAAAAACAAACAAATCTAGCGAAAAACGGCAACCGCAACAACAACGGCAAGCAGCGGCAGCAACATGATTTGAAATTCAAATTGGCAATCCAAATCTAAAGCCAAAAGGCAGCCAAGAAATGCGTGCACCGAGCTGTAGCCATGAACAGTGGCTAAAATGATACATACTCGCACTCGTAGAATAGAAAATGTCAGCCGGAGTAATCAAATAAATAATCTGGCTAAGTGCTGCCAGGGATGGCGAAGAGCGGCATTTTCAACCGAAAGTGAAACTGAAACCGAAACTGCAACTGCAACTGCCAACTGCACTTGCAACTGCAACAAGAAAGTGAAACGTGTGATTTCTTTTGGGCTGGGAAATGCCATTGCAAGTGAAATGTTAATTTCAGTGGTATGCAACATACAATTTCCAGGAATGCATAATGCAAATTTAATCAGCAACTTGGAATGACAAAAGCCTTGAAAGTGTTGTAAAAAATCATGTTGGTAACATGTTTTTAGACTGGGTATAAGCTTACATTAAAGTTCTTAAAAAAATTATTATGATCATAAGATTAACGAAAATACTTAATATTTGAAAATGTATGTCTGAAGCTAATAAAGAAATAATTAATATGTTCAGTATTCTACAATTTCAAGCTGTACTAAAAAATATGTTAACATTAATTGAACTTCCACAATTCTAAGAGCAAAATACAGAAAAAAGAATCAAAAACTAAACTAAAACTTAATTTTCATGAAGACTCAAGTTTTGTTTAAATGCCTTATTTTGGTGAAACTAGATAAAGAAATGATTTTGTAACTTCAAGAAACATACTATTTTTCGATCAATAGTACCCAATTATGAACAATGGATACCCAGTGATGATCATTTAAATACATCCCGACATCAAAAACCAACAATTATTCTCTAATTGTGGCTAACAAACGAAACATAAATGGACATGCAAAGTGAACACTTGTAAATGAATTGCTGAAATTATCAGCAATCAAATGTACAAACAGAATTGGTGGCCACCAATCATTCTGTCAGTTGAATAGATCCCAGGCAGCGATTTTCCCATAGCACCCAGCCCTCGAGTGAGCGGACTAACGCAGAAACTAACGCACTTTTCAAAAAGCAAAAAGTATCTAAAAAAGAATAAAAACTACGGCTTGGTCGTGTTGAACCCCTTGACATTAATACCAAAGTCGCAAAGTCTGACTCGAAGAGAGGCGCAAGAGATGGCTGCAGGGGTTTCTAGATGGAGGTTTTGGAGGAGCTTTTGTGGCAGGGGAGCACGAGGCACGGGGCTGCCTGTGGCCGCCGCAAAAGAACCTTGGACTGACGCTGAACTCGCTGCAAAGTGAACAATCTTAGCCGTCTACGACGCGTCGGTAGCGTTGACGACCGCTCGCAATGTCAACGGCTCGAGCAGCATTTCAATGACTACCAACTGCCGCCTGGTTTGCGGATCCGAGTTCCAATCCGAGTCAGAATCTGAATCTCATTCCGAAACCGAATCAGAGTCGTTGGTGCTGTATCCTTGGAATCGAGAGTTCAATGTTTGGGCCGTGCGGCGCTTGAACCCATGGCATACACCAAAAAAAAGGGCAGCAGCAGGCAGGACCGTCTCGTCCTTTCTTTCCTCAAAATAAATTTAAAATCACTTGGAGAAAAGTTATGGCACTAATCGCTCATATTTTATATCTATTACTGAGACAATTTATGAGTTGCCTTTCAAAAGTTTAATTCTTAATATATTCTAACGTTAGATAGTTTTTCTTTGCTCTTCTATGAGTGTATATAAAGTAAATTATTATTTAAAATTAAGCTCGAAAATAAAACCTTGAAATTGAGATTCAGCCCCAAAGTATGCAATGTCATATTTTCGAATGAGAATCCTTTATAATGTAATTTTTGAACTATTTTAAAAACGTCTGTAATTAAGATTGCTACTGAGTTTGTGAAATGTATCTTTGAATTAATTTAGTTTCAACACAAATGAAAATGTAAGGCAACTGATTTAAACAAGAAATATAAAAGATTATCAATGGGCCTTCCAATGATTTAAAATCATTTTATAAAGCTTTGTAGCTTTTTACATTAGTTAACATGGCAAGAATCTTTTCAAATAACTTTAAACCTTTCATGACACTCCCGATTTTCATTTTTCCTCACCGTGTATTAGAAAAGTGGGTGGCCATTGGGCGCAGTACCAAAATGATTGGGCCTCGTTCACAGGCTGAACTTCAACGAAATTGTTCAAGTTCAAGGTTGCCGGAAAGCCCGATTCGAACCCAAAAGACCCAAAAACCCAAACCCAAACAGTCGGCTCTTTGTCTGCCGCACGCACACAATCACACCGCCATACACCATAGACACTCACATTATCACGCACACGCACAGTAAAATGGCCGAGGAACGGAAAGGAGTGTGGGCAGCCATTTTGTCTGCGGCCCGAAACACCAATACAGTCGAAAGCTTGGGCAGACGGCAGCCTAAATACATGCACATACATGTATATAAAGGCAACATTTCCTATAAACGACCCAACAGCCACCCACACAAACACAGACACAGACAGAGACCGAGGCAAATATCCTTTTGACCTTGAGCGCACAATTTCCACACGCAAAATTTATTGACCCGACTGTCTGAGTTGGCTTCGCCCCATTCGGAAACTTTTCGAAAAAACAAAAACGAGCAGCGAAAAAAAAGGAGCAGGACCCGCCGACTCCTCGCTGCGCTCTGTCTGGGCCTTACTTTTTTGTTGCTGCTTTTTGTTTTCCTTTTTGCCAAGAAAAGGAAGTAGGTGCCCGCAGAAAAGGGCGGAGGCGCCCAAGGACTGTGGGTGGTTGCGGTGTGGCATTCAGACGCTTCCCAGAACCGGGGGCTCCGTCTGCCTTTCGTGTCAATAGACGGTTATTTGTCTGCCTCCTAGAAAACCCCTCCCCTAATGAAATCCCTACCCCAGCGGGGGATATATCCCTACCCGCCCAAATTTATATATATATATTTTTTAGGCAGAACGACGACGACGAGACAACAACCCGAACGTCGACATTTATATTTCAGTCTGAGACTTTTTGAGTGGTTGAGTGGCTCGGTGGCTCAGTCGTTAGGTGGTTGACTGTCTTGTGGGGTGTTGGGCGGTGCTTTATTTTTGGGGCGAGGAAGGAAGACATCCTGTCGGGATTTAATAAACAAGTTACTGGCCTTTTTATTTATTTCTGGCAGTTGTTTGGCCGACAGTTTGGCTCTTTCGAGGAGGGGCCTTTCATACAAATTATTATTTGGCCAGATGGGAAACTCAATTAGTTAAAATACATATCTCCATAATGAGACATTTTCAAAAGATAAAAAACAAGTTTGGTAAGCCTTTAAACAGCTGCAAAGCTGTTCATTTTCTCCAATATTTTACTTTGATTTCTTTTTTTTTAAGGCGATCTAAGTTTCACTGACATTGTTATCTAAGTTTTTTAAACTTACTAAAACAATCTAAATAACTTAGAAATGAAAATGAAATTAAAAAATTGGTTTAAAAAAAAAAGAAAAACCAAAATGAAAGCTTTAAAGCTTTTTAGCCAGCACACAAACACTCAAAACCTTGTGTGAATCTAAAACTGTAAGCATTGTTCAATCAACATTCAACTGTTTTTAGCTACTTTCAAGCTCAATATGTAGAAGTCTGTAATCCAATGTAAGATACATGTAGAAAACTGTATATTGTAAAACAGCTTGATACAGATGGCGCCACTCTATGCGCCAGAACTGGTAAAATACTCGTGTATAAATCATGTAAATAACAACTTATGGCATCACTGCTGAAAATTGGATGATGTGGCAGCGCTCGAAATGCCGCCAAATTTAAATTTAATTTAATTTAAATAAAAATAAATCATTTAAAAAAAAACGATTTTAAACGAACTTCAAAATGAATGTTATGACATTTTAAAACATAAGAAACAAATTGTAACTGACATCAATACGATTTTTGAAACGATAGAAAAAGTTATAAATTTGTTTAAGTTAAATTAAAATTTGTTCGAATTTCAAAATTTCCATTTCCGCCTTGAGTTTCTTCAAATGTTTTTTATAATAAAATTTCAACTCTCTTTAAATATTCCTTTAAAAATTGATTTAAAATTACAACTTTCTTATTTTAGAAAAGATAATAAAAACTTTTGACTCACCGCTGAGTTTTTCCAGTCGCTTCTCGATGTTTAGGCACTTGGACATAAGCTTCTCGACGAGCAGGGGATTGGCAGCGGCGCTGGTCACAAATCGCGGCTCCTCCGCCAGCGGCTGTCCGCCCATGAGGGCGTACTCCAGCTTGGTGGCACAGTCGCCGGCTACTCCGCCGCCGGAACCAGCTCCTCCTCCTCCGCCGCCATGGCTGCTATTGTTATTATTGATCAGATCGCCACAGAGAGCAGCAGCTGCAGCGGCAATGGCCGCCGAATTAGAAGAGCCGAAGGCTAGGAGCGCCTGCTGGCCACTGGCATCGCCGGAGTCGGCTAGACTCGCGGCCACCGAATCGACCAGACCCTGGGCACTCAGCTGGGCATTCTCTTTGGCTAACAGATCATCGTTGGCCACCACGGCGGCGGCCACGCTGGCAAAGTCATCATCGGTGATGACGTTATTGTTGTTCTCCTCCTGGGAAACATTTGATTGCAGCGGGAGGAGCAGGAGTTGTTACAGCGGAGAGGGAGAGAGATGAGCAGAAAACAGAAAGGGAAGACAAAACAATGATGAAAAATCCATATATACATGTTATCATTATAATCTAAATATGGTTTTATAAGGGCATATATGTATGTAGTATAGGCAGTTGTTAAACTTCTCTGTTCTGTTCTTGGCGGATGTACATTTTCGACTTTCACCTCGACGGTGGCCAAATCGGACAGCAGGCTCTCGATCTCGAAGTTGCTCTCGGAGAAGCTGCGGAACAGCTCGTCGGAGGAGTCGCTGCCGCATAGCGGCTCCACCACCACGTTCACGTTGCGGGCTGCCGCTCCATTCAGTTCGTTTCCGGAGGGTCCCACCGATCCCACGACACCGCCTACTACGTTTTGATGCGGATTGTTCGGATTGCCAGCTGATTGGATCGAGGGATTCAGGTTTTCCGTTCCAGTTACCGTAGAATCATCCTGAAATTATAAAATTATAAATCATTTAAACAGGTTCTTAAAGTGTAAATAGAAGGTTAAATATATAGATCATAATAAAGTACTTACAGCTATGCATGTTGCCAAGTCTAGACCACCAACAATACGACCATCGTTATCCGGACACCAGAGCAGTGCATCGTCGAAGGGCATCGCTGATAGGGCAAAGCCTGCACTGCAAATACTGTTAGCTGCCAGCGTGTAGCCGTTTCCTGAATACCCCTGCCAGTCGCGAAAGTTCTGATCAATCTTGATGCCACCCAGGTCCAGGGTTCTCCTCTCGTCTCAAACCAGGAAAGTGTTAACTTTGTTTCGCCACCGAAACACTCCTCTCTCTATCTCTCTGCTGTTCCAATTGGATTTTTGTATACCTATCACACTTGGTATCAAAATTTGGATTTATGTTTTACGTTTTTCACAATTTTTCATAAGATTTGCTTGGGAATTTTCGTTTTTAGGCACTTTTAATGAGACGGTTTTGGTTTGGTTGTTTAAAATTTGTATAAAGTTGGCTTAGCTTTAGTCTAGTTCCGCTTCTGGACGTCGTTCAGATCGCACAGAAACGTAAGACGAAAGTTTCCTTGTCGATGTGTAAAAGTTGTTAGTTCGTTAACACACTTTAAAATGTAAACGTTAAAAAGTCCCTCCGTCTTGTATATATATATGTTTAAATTTAATATTATTTTGGCTTTATTTTGGAGTCTGAAAAAGAAAAAAAGGGGATTTTATTAGTATGATGGTTTCAGTATAACTATTATTTAAGTTAGAAAAAATCTGAGATGAATGTATAAAATGAACTAAAAACTAACTGAATTACTGTATTTTTAAATAATTTTTAAATTTTTTTCCTGACGTTATTTTTCATTATTATATAAAATACAATTTTACATGCCGAAAAACACAGCATCTAAAATAACCTTTTCTTCGATTTGTATACTAAATTAATTCATAAATTATTTAATCTACGCTTAATTAGCAATTTTAAAAGCCTTTTAATTTACTTTTAATTACTAGTAATGCTGTTTATTATTTATAATAAAATCCTCCCGCAGCTTATCTAAAATCACGGCCTCTTAATTGCATTTGCAACGTACTTTCTTGGGGAAATTCCAGACCATCTGAATTTGCATCTGCACCCCAACAATGCCGCATCATTGGGCAGCCATTAAAATATTTACATTTATACAAAGCCGATCTGCAGGCAATATATACAAATATATATATATATATATATATATAGCTGGCAAAAGGCAAGAAGAGGATGAAAATATAGAAAGTCGTCTCGTTGCATTGTTTCAATTTTTGCCTTGTGGCTTCCGGTTATAACTAATTTTCCTCTGAATCAAAGTTTTCCCTCACCTCAACGCTCTCCTTTCCTCTTTCTATCTATTTTTTTGTGTTTGTGTTTAAAGTTCAATAACATTAGAAATTGCGAATTACAACATAAAAGCAAGAGCGGAAAGAAAACTCGGCGATCGGGACAAGCTGCTGCATCCAGAGGGAGGGCGAAAGACGCGCAGCACAAATTTTGTGGCAAACTAAAACTGAAAACTGCAAGCAAAAAATAAAGTAAAAAGACAAAAACCAAAATAGAAGCAAAGCTGGAAAAATGCTTTTTACATAACATGTTACTGAACTGAACTGAGCGGCAGCGGCAGCGGCAACAGCAACAAAAACACACACAACGGCAACAAGTTTTGCACTCGCCAAATTCATTACAAGTGAAAGTCCAAAAACAACAGCAACATCAGCATTTGCAACTGCAACACCAACAACTGCAGTAACAACAACATGCATCCACGGCGCAAAAAGTTCGTTAACATTGAACTACGAAGCAAACGAGGCGGAATACGAAGAGAAAAATGTGCATAGAAAAAAATAAAACTGCAGCAAACTTGAAAGCACTCACAGGCAGCAGCAGCAACAACTGCAGCTTTAAGTGCCAGCGTTAGCTGAAAAAAATACATATTATAAAATAGGAGATTTACGAAAACAACAACATCTGTTACAGCGGCATTAAAGAAACAATGCAATCATAACCTTATTTTTAATAACTCCAAGTAAGGAGTAGCAATGCTGGCAGATTTAAGATGATGTCATCTGATATATGATATATGATATGATCTATTTAAAACATTTTTAGTGAAATATTATATCAACTTAGAGCTTTTTATAAATTTACGAGTCTAAGATGTCAAAATAATACTTTGAAAAAAGGAATCACTAAAGAATTTATATATTTTAATACAAATAATTTAAGAGGAATGTAATACGAAAGTTTCTAAACGTCAGTCAATATTATTGTAGTAATAGAAAGACTTGGAAAATAAAATCTAAATTGTAAATAGAATATTTGTAAGCATATTAACTAATGTTAATGCAACCTCAGTTCTCTCTGTTTAAACAAATTATTTAATCATTTAATCATAAAATTCAACATATTGCATAGTTTATAGTCTATTAAAGAACAAAAGGAATCTTAAGAAAAATGCCATAAAAACATCGAAGATAAGTTTATAAAAAACAAAAAAAAACAATAGAAAGATTAAAATTACAATAAATTCAGCAACATGACATCTTTCAAAAGAAATTACATCAGCGAAGTAAGCTACAAAAGAATGCCAAGCAACTTGAACATAAAACACAAAAAAACGAAAAGATTGAACATCTTTACATCTTCCCCTACTATATCAGCATTAGAATTCGATAGAACCAAAACAATTGCAACATTGTGTGGGGCACACGAGCAACACACACACACACACATACAAGCACTGCAGCAACATCTAATGCAGCAGCAACATGCAGCATGGACATTACAACATTGCGCTGCCTGGCACCCGCGTCATCATCATTTCTCTTTTTCACTCCCAATCGCTGCTTTTCTTTTCAGCCTCTTCGGGTTTTCCACAGCTTTGCTGTTGCTTTTGCTATTGCCATTGCTATTGCTATTATGATGCGCATGCGCGGCGGAAAACTCGTTTTTCATTATTCAATACAAGCGATTCAAGCCGCTGCAACTATTTCACTTTCCAGCCAAACTGCAAGTTCAGGCGCAAAAAAGCGAAAGAAAACTTGAAAGAGCTGAACAGCAACAACAACAACAACAACAATTGAGAAGCAAGAAAGGAAAAGCCGATGGAAAACCTACAGCTTCAGCTTCAGCTGGCGCCAAGTTTGCCATTTGCCCGTTTACTGTCCGCCATTCCCCGAGGCCTGAATTATAATTAGACATTTGGCCCGAGCTGTGCTCAACATTTATGCAAAATATTGGTTCGACGCCTCTCACCATTCCTCCCCCCATTCGCCCCTTTTGCATCGCTCATAATCACATAGCCACGGTGCGTATACGCAATCTCTGATTAGCGCGGCAATCGTCAACACAGATTGCATAGAAAAGCGCCCTGGCATGTGTACTTATTTGAGAATCTACACTGTGCTACCAGCACTCACTTCCTGGTTTTCCCCTACGAGTGGCTGGCAATGAGAATTCCCGATTTGGGTGCGGCCTATCAGCGATCTCCGATTGACCGGTGGAGCGGTAAGCAGTAAGCGGTAAGCGGTCAGCAGTAAGCGGTAAGCGGTCAGCAGTAAGCGGTACCTAGCACTCGCACTCAGAGTCATCGGGTGATCGAGAGCTCTCCACATTGCGGGGTGTTCTTTTCGCGAAAGTTGAAAGCTTTCCAGTTATCCCTGGGAGTGGTGACCTTAAGGTAGCTCAAACGGCCTCTGCCAACGGCAGTCCATATTGGAATTTTGGATCGGAAGTCAAGTGATATGTTTACGATATGTAACTATTAGTACGAGCTTAATTTAAAATAGATATAAGTATCGCTTAATATTCAAGCCACTAAATAAGTAAAGAATATTTATTAAAAATATTATATTCATTAAAGTGGATATTAAACTGCAAGTCATAAAAGTGAAATGTTAATTGAAATGTAATTTATACCATATTTACTGTAGCTTTCTTGGCTTGCTATTATTAACTTAATTCGAATATATAATATTTTTTGTAAATAATACACTAACATATTCTTAAAATCATCCTGAACTCAGTCTTAAGTCTTTCAATTATAAAACCCTTTTAAATAATTAATAATAATAGAAGATAAATTCTAAATATATCTACCACTCACCTTTCGCTTTTTTGTTGTCGTTGTCCGTTGACGATCCTCGACGTTGCTGAATGTTGTTTGCTTACTTGCTTATTCGCTTATTTGTAAATGGTTTCGTTGGTGTAAATATATAAATTTTGATTGTTTTTGCTGTTTGTATAGTTTGTATATTGAACTACGTATTAATTTGTAAGTTAATATTAATATTATTAACCGTAAGGCAGTGTAAAGTTATCAAAAAGTTGTTGTTTGCTTTCTTGGGTTGATTCACTTGTTGCACATTGACCGATGCGCCACTTGATGTTGCAGTTGCAGTTGTTGTATTTTCTTTGCCGCGCACACGGGCGCATTGTATTTAGTTTTAGTTTGTTTTTAATAAATTTATATAAATTTTGGCTTTTTGTGGCCACCGCACTTGTCACAGGTTAATATGGAGGAGTTCAAAGGGAAGCTGTCCGTGAATTAGCCGACTTTTTCGCCGATTTTATCTTACAGCGAATGCGATAGATGTATAGAGTTTTATTGCCATTAGCATCGATATTGATGGCATTGACCAAATTTGCATCAGTTCCCAGTTTGCTGCTTTTGGCACGCATTTATGGTGTTTGAAGGTGCGCTGGGGCATTTGGGGGCTGCGCGGCGGCGGTGGGCGTGGCCCCTGAAGACGTCTAACTGACTCCCAAAATCTATGTCGGGTTGCTGTGCGGCCCCTGCAAGTAGAACCGAAGAAGAAACCAAACGGCAAGAAGCCAATCAATAAATATGAAACACAAATTTGCTGCATAAGTTTGAAATGTTTAAAACAAATAAAAAAGAAACAACAACAACAATTGAAACGCGCGAGACATTGACAAACCGGTTGACGACTGTCTCGGAGGCAGAGGCCAAGATAACCCACCTGCGGGTGTTCCCATTAACTCGGTTTTTGGCGGGAGATCATAAATTTTAAAGCTTGTTTTATTTACATTAACTTCATCTAATTTCGTTGTTTAATTTATCAAGTTAGTATATTTGAATTAATAATGGTACAAATATTTTTTTATAGAAACAAAAATTTATTTCAAAAAACATTTCAATTTTATACATTTTTAAAAATATTTTACAACTTTAATAACTCTTTATTGAAAGTATATATTTTAAGGAAACAAATCTCTTGAAGACCTTAAAACAAAATACAAATTTATTAAACAAGAAATAGAAAAAACTTGGACTAAAACCGGTAATAAACTGACAAACATCCCAACTTATTTAAAAAAATAATTATCATTATGTTTTTGCTGAATTTTACTGCCGACCAATAATAAATGTATGAAAATAATGTATAAAGTAAGTAAATAAAAACATTTCTTTTAGGTTACTTAACTACTTTTAAAAATTGAAAAATATATTTTGGTTTTTAGAAAAGTTGCATTTTGACATAGTTTTAAAGAAGTTTAAGCAAGAAACCTAAAAAACGTTACTCATAATTACTTAAATCGATTTAAATATTTTTAAAATTTATACATTCATATATGACATTCTACTTTAAAATACCAATTTCTACCTCCCTAGAAAATAAATAAATTTTGTATTTCCCCTTAATCGACCTTTTCCAGAACACCCCAGTCTCGCACCGTCCATTTCTGCATAGAATTCGATCAACATTTTAAAGAAAGAAACAAAAAGAAACACATTTAAGCTTTTGACGCCTGCAAATTATGGAAGAGCTTTTGCTATATAGACTATAATAAAGCTATGCAAAATGCGTTAAGTGCAGAGAACGAGTAACAGAGAGGGATATATAGAGAGATAGAGACAGGTGGCAAGGAAGAGAAGCAGATAAATAGAGAAGTATAGAGAATCAGAGGAGCGCGAAGTGCGCCGGCTTCTTTGACTTTTTGTCTATTTCTATTTACTGCGTAAGTGTGTGTGTGTGTGTAGTTGCGCTTAGCTTTTTGCATTGTTATTGTCTTCGTGTGCGTTTAGTTTCTGAGTGTGCGGTTGTGTGAGTGGTGACCTTCTCACACTGTCATGGCTACGTATAAAATAATATAAAAATAAAAGCTTTTGGCTTTATAATTTGTATGCAGCTCCCAATGCGTGTCGACTTCTGCCTGTGTTTGTGTGAAGAACATAAGCGAGTCGTGCTTAAAAATAACAACAACAACTACTACTAGTAAAACTACAGACAATAGCAACAACCACACGGCTTTTCATTGAACAAAATATTATTAACGTTCCGCTCAAGATCGCAGTTTGTTTTTTTGCCAGCTTTTTATTGTTGTAGCTTGCGGATAGTTGAAAAACAGTCTCGCAAATCTTAGCCACATTCGTCGTGTTTCTATTTTTTCTTCTTTTTTACTAACTTGAGATACTTCCGATTTAGCGACAACAAAAAGCTTAAGTTTTTTCTATGCTTCGGTGACAAGCTGGAAATTGGAAAAACATTAATTTAGTTAGCTACTTAATTAGTTTGTTTCTGGATAACAGTTTCAAGGTCACCATGAATATTTTGTAACAACTTTTTAAGTTTTAGCAAGGATTTTATAGAATAAATAAAAATAATTACATTAATTTTAATGCTTTTTCTATTCACTCTTTTTTAGTAAACTGATATATTTAATCATTTGAATTTTCTGTTTCTATCTTCCATCAGTACCAATAATTTAAGTCCCTTTGGTTTATATTCTTTTAAAAATTTCCCAGGATTTTCCCTTGGTCGATAGATTAATTAATTATTAGTCACTATTTAGCAAGTGGGCAAATTTTAACCTTAGTTTTGTGCTTTACTTTTTGCTTTCTGTTTTCTGTTGTAACCACAAAAAGCTATTGTTTTTGCTGTAGTTTTCTGGTGACCTTCTTTCCTGCTTCTTCTTCTTTTGCTGCCGTTTTTTCAGTTTTTGTTGCTATTCCGATTCAAGTTTAAGGTCGTCGCTTTGGGGGTCTAGACGATAGACTACAGACCGTAGACAGTCGCTAATGCCGCACTAATGGCCGAGCTGTAGGGTGCTTGTTGTTGTTGTTGGTGCTTACAGGTAGCACCCCCCTCCACCTTCCCCTTTGCCCAAGGGCGTAACTAATGTTGTTGTAATCGAGTCGCCTTCCCTTTCGCACCGATGTATTTATGTACGGTTTGGTTTTGGTTTTTTTAGCCATAAATTCGGTTTAGTTGAACGGTCCACGTATGTGGAAAGAAAAACATTTAATTGGTTAATGCACTTCATTATGTGTAACTAATTTGCATTGGGAGAAGCACTACACCTACTAAAAAATGGGAACAAATCTAATAAAATCGGTCAGGGCAACTTAAAAGTAAAGTTACTTATGTTCAGTTGGAAGATAACATTAAGTAATTAAAAGAAAAACAAATAAAGTTAAAACATTTTGATAAATAAAACAACCTTAATAAGGAGGAAATATTCAATAGTTCATATACAATCACATGATAACCCTTAGAACACCATTTAACCTACTCTGAATCCCCAGCACATTACGCATTCGCTCCGTTGTCCCATAGAAATATTTAATTTATAAAGGTTTGTTAATTGATTGGGCATTGTTTCTCGGCCTGTATATGCCCTCAAAAGCAATTACCAAATTATTATCATCATTTTTGTTATGAACGGAAAAATCATTGTCAACTGACACACGCGGCGTATGCGTTATACTTCTGTTAACTGCTGATGGCTTCTTTGTTACAGCAGAACTGAAACTATTTGGTTAGCCATGGGAAACTAGCGACCTTGGGTCACTATTATAATACAAACTATACCCGAATTCTTGATGGCTAACAAGCCAGAAGAAACCAAAAACTTTATCCAACAAAGAGCCAGCAACAACAACGCAACACAAAGTGAATTCTAATTAAATTAAACAAAATAAGCATAAACAGCAGCAGAAAAAATGTTAAATGGAAAAATTATTCCGACACTGCCATAAAAAGTGCGATCAAGAAATAGCAGACACACGAGACACGGCCATTATGCATAATGGATAATGGAGATGTCGACTGGGCCGAAGGAAAAGTTGAGTCAGGTCCCCGAGAGGCAGTCGTCTGGTGTATATTTGTCCCACTCACTGATCCCATTGTTCTTAGCCTAGCCTCTACAGAACTGTATATGCAGTGGAAAATCCATATCTATACACGCAGAAAGAATAGGAATTTTACTTTAATATTAGTCAAGTTTCTAAACGAAGAAATATTTAATTTGCCAGACAAAGGAACAGGGTAGATACTAGGAATTGCGTACTTTGAAGACATTTAAAAATCATCACACAATATTTATCTTAAGGTCAAAAGAACGAGGTGTGTATGTTACTCTGGTATGTTTAGATCAGTTGATTTTATGATATTTTTAAGATAAACAGGTTTGATTTAGCTTATAAAACTATTAAATAAATACATTTACAGTTTTAACATTTACTAAGCGAGTTATACATTTTATTCGCAATTTATTACATAATTGAATCTCAATTATCATAATCATAAATAGGGAAATATTACAAAGTAATATTATTTAAAATTCAAGGCTAAATTACATACAAATATTACTAATATCTCATTAGTTTTTGAAGATGTTTAGCCATCATACGTTGTTTAATAAAACTTTCATTTATATTTGTAATCAAAAGAAGAAGAAAAGAAAAGAAAAATATTTCTAATTTCATGTCTAGTTTCCTAACTCACCTTAATAGTTCAGATATTATTTAAATTACCCCATTGAATCAATTAAATGGCGTACATTAGTCAATAGTTTTGTCTTCGTCTGCCAAATATTTATCATACGCCACCGAAAGTGCATTGAGATATTAAAATAGAAGAACAAGAAGTCAAGCACTGCTAAGCAAAAGCTATAAAAGAGACAAAAACAAGAGGCAAATATCTTACTACGAAAATGAATGTGTGTCTGTATGTCTTCTTGTCTGTTCGTCTGTTTCAACGTGCCCCAGCAAAGTGCATGTGTGAGTGTTTGTGTGTGTGTTTGTGAATAAAATACGCAACCTTCAAAAAAATCTAACAAAGCAAACTTGTTCAATAGTCATATGCGTATCAGGAAGTCAACATTTCAAGGATTGACTCATTGAAAAAGTCGAATGCGACGGCAACAAAAACAAGTTAGTCGCTGTTGCACGCACACAGATGCAAGCTAAAATACACTCTCTCTCTCTCTCTCGCATACTCGCACACGTACACTAGCATTAGACGAAAAAAAGCGCGCCCGGCAAAATGCAATGCAAAAAGTAGCAACAAAAATGTATTTACAGTAAAGCACACAACACACACACCTGCATACACGGACACTGTGCAAATCTGTGAGATCACTTGCAATTGCACTCGCTCTCTTTTGCTCTCCGAGCGAGCTTTTGCACTTACTCTTTTTCACTTTATTTTTTGCACTCTTATTCTCTTCCTTTGACACTTGCTCTTTCGTTTCGGCTACTCTTCAACC